AAAGAAAGTTAAATACTAAGGTGTAAGAGAATGGGAACACATGTTTAATCCCAAGCATCTTTCAAAGATTCATAAAGTAAAAAGAATGTATCTGAGAAATCCACTAAAAAGGAAGAGCAGAAGATTAAGAACAAACAGGTGTCTTAAAAACAGGCCTAAATGAAAATTTAAAATCTAACAAGAGATATGAAGAGGATCAATGCCCACAAATAACATACTTGTGGAATTAATCCTCAAAGAAGTCTAAGCATACATGCATTAGAATGAGTGTATATGAAGACAAAGTGCATAAAGCTGAGGAATGTGGGGTAGGAGAGATACTAAGTAGAGCAACAGGAATGGCATTGAAAAAGAGCTGAAGGTCTAGGATTAGTTTTGTCCTCAGCATCAAGGTCAGATATCAAACAACTCCATCCCACTCTGCCACCCTTTGCAGTGGAAGAATAATTGCCCAGAGTGGTAGCAATGCTGGAGAGTGGAGGAGATAGATAGTAAGAGTGTTGGTGTTTTCTTCTACTCCAGTTCTCAGTAGAGAGTGCCCCTTTCATTTTCTGCTGAGGGGCATAACATTCTGCTTTAATAGAACACTGTTCCAAACCAGGTTTCTTCACAACTACTACAAAGAGGTTGTGGTGGTTCGAATGAAAATGGCCCCCATAGGCTCATAGGGAGTGGTACTATTAATAGGTGTGGCCTTTGTGGAATTGTTGTGGCCTTGTTGGAGGAAATGTGTCACTGTGGGGGTAGGTCTTGAGGTCTCCTATGCTCAAGATATGCCCAGTATGGCGAACTGGGCTTCTGCTGCATATGGATCAAGTTAACTCTCAGCTCTTCTCCAGTATCATGTCTGCCTGCATGCCTCCATGTTTCTCTCCATGACAATAATGGACTAAAGCTCGGAAACTATGTCAGACCCAATTAAATGTTTTCCTTTATAAGAACTGCAGTGGTTATAGTCTCCTCATAGTCTTAGAAACTCCTAAGACAGACATAAACTTTTTGGTTCTACTGAAAGTATTTGTACTCTCATATAGTGGGCTGGGTTACAGCACATATCACTATGACAAAGGAGAAGATTTTGTTTTTGTAAATATGTCATCAACACTCCACATACAGATCTCTCTCGTTGTCCCCTCCTATATGCACACACACACACACACACACACACACACACACAACCCCACTCCCACACCTATAAATATTGTACGCCCCCCCCCATGTGTGGTAAAATGTTTTGCAGTGTCTCCATTCCCTTCTTCTGGTTCTTGGCAATGCTTGGCTAACTTGTCAACTGCTGGGTTCATTCACCATGCCTGTGCTCCTCAGTTCCCAAATCTGTACTTCTTCCTCTCTTCCCTCTCCACTCGCACTGTCCCCTCTTGTCTCTTTCCTTCCCACTTTGTCAGCTCTCCCTCCCCCTGTATTTCCTCTAACACCTTCCCCAGTCCATCTCTCCTCCCCTTCCCTCCCCTTCCACTTCACTCTCTCTTGCCTTCTCCTACCTTCATTCTGCCAGTTCCCCTCCTGTCTACCTTGCTGACTCTTTATTCTGTACCCTTCTTCTTCCATTTCTTACCATTCCTTCCTTCTCTTCCCACCATTCCACTCCCTCCATTACCTTCATCTTCATTCGCCCTCTACTCTCTTCACCTCTCCTTCATTTCTTCCCTTGATCCCAAGCCTTTAGTTCCCTCCTCCTCCCTTTCCCTCTTCTGTCCTCCCCCATTCACTTGCCCCTCCTTCTTTCTCCCCACTCTCCCCTTCTTTACCTCACTCTATCCTACTACCTTCGCTCCTCCTTCTCCTCCCTTGCCTCTCTTCCATCTGTCCTACTCTCTCCTGTCACCTCTCCCTCAAGTCTCCTCTGTTCCCCTTGCCCTGGTTCCCTTTCCCTCCCCTCTTGTTCTGTTTATTTTATGTCAACTTGACATCAGCAAGAGTCAGCTGGGAAGAAGGCCCTGAATTGAGAGTGCCTCCATTAGATTGGCCTGTGGGCATGTGAATGGGGAATCTTCTTGACTAATGATTGACAGAGGTTCAAGCCCACTGGCAGTGAAGCTAGCCTTGAGCATCAGATGATCCTGGGTCATCAAACTGAGCAAGCCCGTCAGCAGCATTCCTCCATTGTCTCTGCTTCAGTTTCGGTTGATGCCTTCAGTTCGAGTCTTGAGTTCCTGCTTTGGCTTCCCCTCATGATAGACTGTACTCAGAACATGGAAGGCAAATAGACCCTTTTCTCCCCAAGTTATTTTCGGCCACTGTTTTACTACAACAATAGAAACCAAACTAGGATACTTTCCCTTCCTCCCCTTCCCCACCACTTGCCCTCTCCCCTTCTTTAACCTACCCTCCTACTTCCTTCTCACTCTCTCCTTCCTGACCCCTCTCCTTTACTCCCTTCTACTCTGTTTACTCTCTTCTCTCATCAACCTCTATCACCTTCCTTCACCTCTTCCCTTGCTCCATTGTTATTTCCTCCTTCTCTCTCTCCTCCCTCTCCTTGATTACCCTCTCCTTCCTGTCCTTGATTCCCACTGTCTCCCTCTGCTCTTCACAGTCCATACCTTTCCTTCATTTCCTGCCCCTTCTCATTCCTTTACTCTCTCCCTCCATCCTCCTCTATTCTTCCTTCCCCTCTTCATCTTCATCCTTCTCTATGCCTTCAGTTTTTCCTCTTCCTCTCTTCCCATTCCACCTCTTCTTTTTCATCTCATCCCCTATCCACAACTCTTCTTTCTTGCTCCCTTTTCCCTTCTCTACTTTCCTCCATCCACCTCTACCCTTCCCCATAGTTTACCCAACCTTTCCCCCTTTTCCTGTCCTCTTCCTTCTACACTCCCCTCTACTTACCCCACCTGCCCCATTCTGTTCTTCTTCCATCCTGCTCCCTCTCTCTTTTCCCACTACATTTCTTTCATCCTTAACTCTCCTGCTCCATTCTCTTTCTTTTATTATATTTCTTCCCTGCTTATCGCTGTCCTTTTCCCTCCTCTGCCCACCCCACCCATTTCCTCCACCATTCTCTTTTCCCTCATCTTCCTGCATTCCATCCATTTCATGAACTCCCCTCTCCTTTTTTCCTCTCCATCCTCCAATTCCCTTGCCTCTCCGATTCTTTCCCTCCTCTGCCCTCCTCCATTTCTTCCCCCCTCATTTTTCCTTGTCCTTCCCTTCCTCTTTTCCTAACTCCTGCCCTTCTTCTGTTGCACCTCTCTGCATCCCTCTCCCTCCATTCTATAGATCACCTCCACATTCTTTCCATTCTCCAGCATTTCCTTCCTCATCCACTTTCCTTTACCCTTTCTTTGCCTTGCTCTCCTTCTACCACCCCAATCCCTTTTCATTCCCTCTACATGTCCTTTCCCTCTACAACATACTCTATGGTCTCCCCTCTCCTCCTTTTCCCTCATATTCCCTCCCTGTCCTCTCCTTCCTATCCTGATTTACTTCCATTCTCCTCATGATTTCATTCTCTTCCCTTCCCTCCCCTCTCCTTTCCCCTCTTTCCATTGTGATCTCACTGTTTTCTTCCCTCCTCTTCTCTGCCAATCCTTCCCCCTTCCTTCCCCTCCTCTACCCCTTCAGTTACCTCCTTCCCCACTCCTCTCTAGCCTTCCCACTAGCCTTCCCACTAGCCTTCTTTCCCACTAGCCTTCCCCTTTCCCCTCTCTGTTCCCTCCATTACAATTGCCTCTCCCTTTCTCTCCTACCTTCTCCCTTGCTTCCCTCCTCCTTTCCTCCTCTCCTTCTCCTGATTCCACCCACTCCATCTTCACTTCACTTCCCTTACCCTCAACTCTTTCTCCTTTCTCTTCTGTCCTCTCTTCTTTTCCTCTCTCTAACCCCTCCTCTTTGCCTTCCTTCTCCCTTGCTCACTCATCTATCTCCATTCTCATAACTAATTTGCTTTTTACTGCACTTTCCACCCCATCTCTCTCTTTCTCCTTCATCCAATTCTGTCCCCACCTCCTCTCCTTCCATTACCCTCAATTACCACTATTCTCCACCCTATTCTGGTTATCTCCTTTCCCTACCCTCTCCTTTCCCTCTCTCCCATTTTCCCCTCTCCATTGTAATCTCCTTCCTTTCTTCTCCAGCTCTTCTCTTTCATCCTGTAACCCTTCTAATACCCTCATTTCCCACTCATCTCCTTTTCCCACTAGCTCTCCCTCTTTATGTAATGCTCCCCCATTACCATGGCTTCTTCTATCTTCTTTTGTTCCTCCTGGTTCCTCTTCTTCCCCCTTCCCTTCTCAACTCTCCATTCTCTCTGTCCTCCATGCTCTGTCCCCTTCCTTCCCCCTTGCTTCCCCTTATATCTCTATTCCCCTTCTCTGCTTTCCTTTTTGCTTTCTTCTTCATCACCACATCCCTGTCTCTCCTTCCTTTTATCTAATTTTACCCACCTCCTCCCCTTCCCTTCCCCTCACTTACCTCCAATCTCCTCCTCTACACTATCTCTAGTTCACTCACCTTCCCCACCCTCTCCTTGTCCTCACTCCATTGTGATATCACCTCTTTTCCTCTCCTATTAATCTCCTCTAACCCCAATCTCTCCCTCTGCTCTTCTACCCCTCCAGTCCCTTCCCCCTCTCTGTTCATTCCATCACAAATACCTCTCCTTTTCTCTAATTCTTTTCCCTCTATTCCTTCTACCTCTTCCCCTATACTTTTTTGCTGGTGACAGGCCCTCCTTCTCCTTCCTTTCCCCACCCAGCTCCTACTCTGTTCTGTTCCAACTGACTGCTTTCTTCTCTCCCCTCTTCCTCTCACTATGCTCTTCTTTATGGCTTTCTTCTCCTTGCCTTCTACTCTACTTTCTCTTCTCTTCTACCTCTCCCTTCATCCCTACCTCTCCCCTTCTTCTACCTCCTCCTCACTCCTCCTAAGCTTTTCTTATCCTAATTTTCCTTTCCCCTCCCCCTCTCTTCCTCTGCCTCTTTTCTCTTTCCCTAGCTCTCTTCCTTTCTAATCATCAAGGAACTTTCTTACAGTTTCTCTTGCTATATGTTGTTCTTACTTTATTGGCCAGACCAGATGTGTTCCTTATAGGGCTCTGCAGCCTGCTGGAGATGGTGCAGGGCTGCTGAGGTCTGGAATTGCTGCCATTCACTGATTGTTATGTGGACTGCTAGAATGGTCCGGGGTATCTTCCTTTTTTTCCAGCTGCCCAGGGTTTCGATTCTTCTTGCCTCTATAGCAAATGATGATCACAGTTGGTTTATTGGCCTTGTTTGGCCTCTGAGCGAGCACTTCTTTCACTCTCTTAATTATCTTCTCCCTCTAGTCAAGAATCAAGGAGAGGTGGGAGAGTGTTAGTTGATTAAGTTGCAGAATAGCTAGCAGACAAGGAGAGCTCTGTAAGAGGGAGTGGAGGTTTGGGAAAGGTTTTGTAAGGAGAAACTCATGGGTTCAGGGACCCATGGGGAAAAGGGAAGGAGCTTAGGAAAGTGTGACCTTCTCATCTCTTTTGTTTTCATGCTGAACAGGTTCTTCTGCAATAGCAACAGGTTCTTCTGCCTCTGTCTTTTCCACAATGTTGCTTTGTGTAGGTTGTTCCATCTTCCTGATGATCTGTAGTTATGCTAGCTTCCCCTGATGTGCAGCTTTTTGTAGCCAATGCTACCCCTGGCAGTAATGAGCAGGAGGCTCCCTGACTGTCCTTTATATACCCGCCCCAGGGTAATGAGAAGCCACACCCTTAAGGTTTGTTTGGTCACCCAGGTACTCCAGGTCTTTCCAGGTCACCAACCAATGGAGCCCTCTGCTGGTTTATGCATCACAAAAGCCTAACTTTTACATATTCATGAGTGTGGTGGGCTTGTGGGGTATGGAGGAATACAACATGCTGTAGTGGTTAATCAACATAGAACTATGTATCCCTAACTGACATGCTCATCTCCTTATGTTAAATAGTTATGGTACATAACACAAGAAATGGGTTCCTTCAAGTCTTTCTTGGGGCTACCCTTATTACATGGACCATTCTGCTGTATCCTCATCCTATTATCTAGTACTTTGGGTATCTTTCTTAAAAATGCTGTTGGCTCATGCCTTCCCAGCACTCACGAGACAGAGTTAGGTGGAACTCTGTGACTTCAAGACCAACCTGCTCTACAGAGAGAGATCCAGGACATGCACCAAAACTACACAGAGAAACCCTATCTCAGGAAAAAAAAATCTTATCTATCAATGTAGTCAAAGTTCTGCAGTCAAACTTCAGTTACACCTTCAAGACAATTTATCTCCTGGCTACATGCCTACCATATTTCTATCCATTCTGGTTCTTGCTGTGGCTATCACTCTATATAAATAAAACACTGATGGCCAGTGACCAGGCAGGAAGTATAGGCAGGACAAAGAGAGAGGAGAATTAGGGAAACTGAAGAAGGAGGAGAGATACTGCAGCCACCGCCAGGACAAGCAGCATGTGAAGATGATGGTAAGCCACAAGCAACGTGGCAAGGTATAGATTTATAGAAATGGGTTAACTTAAGATATAAGAACAGTTAGCAAGAAGCCTGCCACGGCCATACAGTTTATAAGTAATATAAGCGTCTGAGTGATTATTTTATACATGGATTGTGGGACTGCGGGGCTTGGGGAACCTGGAGAGAAGCCCTCCAGCAACAGGTTCTATTCCATGTTCTTGTGGAATTCCTCAGTATTTTTCTTTCCATATGAAATCACAACCTCTGTCTGTCAATACTTCAGTGTACAAGCTTTCTAAAATGGGAAATATAATCTTGCTTCAAATTAGCACAGTGTGATAACTTCACTGTCCCTAAATGTAGCATTGTGACACAGGTTTTGCCATGCAGGGGCTGCAGTTTTCCTTGTGGTCGAAGTTCCCCTGCTTGTTTCCATGTCGGACATTGAAACTGAAGACTAATGTGTACAGACAGAGTAGATATTGGTCACATATGCAGCAGAGGTTTGATCTACTTCAATAAGAGAAAAAAAATCAGACATTAAGGTAAAAAAGAGAATCTTATTTCAAAGCATACATCATTGTTTATGTAGAAAAACACACCTGAAGAAAAACATTCACAACTTGTAACTGAAGATGGCTAGGATGCAACATATAAGATCAATACACAGAAGCATATGTGCTCATATATGAGCACTGAAACTGCAAACACTGATATCTACAATGTGACTTAAAATATCACACAGAAGATGCAATACTTAGGAGTAATTTTGATCAAAGATCTACTTGATGTAAACACAAACAACCACAAAACATTGCAGAGACAAATTAATGGCCTAAAGTAATAAATGAGAATATGTTCTTGATTTATAGATTAGAAGATACAAAATTGGAAGACATCAATTCTTTCCAAACTAATCTGTATATTTAACACATGGAATACACTGTGTTCTTTGAGTTGTAACTTCACTGGTGTTGTAGTTGTTAAAGTATACTCAGATGGTATGCTGAATAGTTTACTGTGTGAAGAGACATGAAGAGGTTTGTATACATCTCCCTAAGCACATCTGTAAACTTCTTATTGAATAAAAAATTGAGGACATGACTGCTCCAAAATATAATTAAGGAGAAGGCTTATTGTAGATATGAGGGAGAAAATAGCCAGAGGAATCTGGAGGCATACAGACTGAAAATGGCCAGCAAACTGAACTCATCCATAAGAGGAGAATGAGGGGTTGAGCTTGAGAGGAAGATAAGAGGGGTCAAGAGAGGAGCTGTGGTGGTTTGAAAGAAAATGGCCCCCATAGACTCAGAGAGTGTCGTTATTAAGAGGTGTGGCCTTGGAAGAAATGTGTTGCTGGGTGCAGGCTTTGAGGTCTCAGAGGCTCAGCCACATCCAATGTGGCTATCTCTTCCTTCTGTCTGCGGATCTAGATATGAAACTCTCAGCTACCTGTCCAGCACCATGTCTGTTGTATGCCACCATGCTTCACGAACATGACAATAATGAACTGAAACTCTGAACTGTAAGCCAGCTCCAATTAAATGTCTTCCTTTATAAGAGTTGCCGTGGTCATGACATCTCTTCACAGCTATAAAACCCTAACTAAGACAGGAGTCAAGAATCAACCAAAAAAAAAAAAAAAAAAAAAGAGCACCAAAGAGACTCTGTAGCCAGAGTTGTTGGGTTATATAAGCATCAGAGAAGTTAGTAGACGGAAGTAAAGCTCAGAGGCTGGAAGTTTAGGGTAGGGTGCAAAGTATGACAGCCAGAATAATTCTATAACAGATACTTGTGAGTAGGAAGTAAGGGGGCCTACAGGCTAGCATAGACCTTGATAAGCTAATAGTCACCACAGGCATGGTTAATGGAAGAGTCATATTCACCTTTTGCCAGAAATAAGGAGAATGACTCCATTTATCAAGTGGGAGCTGGGTCCTTAAGTCCCTGAGGGAATGCTGACTTTTGTATAAAATGCCCGATTTTGGAAAAAGGAATTTCTTGAGACCTAACACTTCTGAGTATATAATTGTTTCTGGACAAAAAAAAAATTAAAGACTTAAATTAAAGAGAGAGAGGGACCAAGGATAGGGATGGCATGCCCACAAGTTTTCCAGTGGGTTGACACTGGTCCCATTTTCTTTAGAATTTGCATATCTCAAAAGAGAAAAGTAAACAAAAGTAGCAACAAAACAGACTGGAGAATGATGCCTTGTTTTGGTGTTCATGCAGGCATCAGAGTGTCAAGGAGAAAGGGGTTACTGAGGTATATTAATCTGCAGTTATTACAACAAAAAATTCCAAGCAATTACCTTAAAATGATAAAGAATTTGCTTCATTTCTTATCCTATAGGTTTCTGTCAAAGGGTGATTGGACCTACTTCTTTTAGCTTTTCCTGGTATCACTGTCATAGTGCAGAGAAGTAGAATCAATTGCTCAGCTCTGGAAACAAAGGAAAGACAAGAAGAGACTGGGGCCCTATAATCCCCTTCATGAGAATACACTCAAGCACCTAAGGGCCAACCACAGGGGCCTGTCTCAGAAAGCTATAGTAACTCCACTGTTCAACCCCCTCCCCAGCCAGGCTGGGAAGAGACCCTCATGGTAGACTACAATGACAAAAGGATATAGGATGTATCTTTTTAGTGAATCACAGGTATAATAGTGACTATTACCTCAAGTTATTTGAACATTTGCAAGTCCACTTCTGTGTTTCATTTGAGGAGAGAGGGTCTCTTGCTTACAATTAATACTTACAGTATCATTCTGAATGAACAAAAAGAATGAAATATACACAAGCATTGATATCAAACAGATAATGTCAAAAAAGGTTAAAAGTTTAAAAGTTTAGTATTTTCCATCTTCATAGAAAGTGAGCCATTCAGATCAGGCAGTGTGAGGAGTAAGACAGTTTCTATAAGGTCCATCAGTGTTTTAATATTTTTCACTCTGGAGTGCCTAAGGCTAAGGAGTGTAATCCTTTATTACTGTGCCTAACATGAAAAGTGTTTCAATGCCACATGATAGATGGAGATAGTTTACGATGACAAATACCTGCAAATGTACAGATCAAAGGGAGAGAGAGAAAGCATTGTGAGGTTTTGTCAACCCACAGCAAGAAAACTTGACAGGATAGTCTTTCATTCCAAAGAGGCTCTTCTGTGAATCTGCTTGAAATCAATACTAGGGATTTTGAGGGAGAGGAGACAAAAAATGTGGTATTTAATGTTTTGTTGTTGTTGTTGTTTTTCCTATAGATATTCAGTATACTCTTCCTCTTTCATTTTAATTGGTTCATTTTATGTGTGACGTATGGAAACACAGTATAGTTAAGTCTTGAAAATGGCTACAACCCATTTTTTTTTTTTTTTTGCCCATCCCAACCCCCACCAGATATCTTGAGCACAAAATCTCTGTTGTAGTCACAGCTTGGGATTTAACAGTTTCTACATCTAACCACATCACAGAAAACCATTACAGTACTAGCCCTTCAGGCTCAGGTAAGGAAAGTCTGTTGAGTGGATACACTTTGTAGGTCTCAAAATGATCGTGAGGTTGTCAGTTGGAGCTTGTCATTGTTGACAACCCCATCACACTCATTACCTCAGTAACATAAACAAGACACTCTCTCCATTGTGTTTTAGACTCATCTTTCCAATCAATTCACCATTTTCCCTGCATGTAACTTTCTCTAACATATAATATTCTCTTCTACACACCACTTCATTTCTTAAGAAACACTTGCCTTTATGAAGGCTTGGGGGAATGTAAGAATCTCAAGTTTCTTTCCTATTTATATTCAGTGGGGTGGTGTACTCTACCATGCAGCTGAGTGAGTTTACAGTACAGAAATGTCCATTGCTAACAGAGCTGCTCTATTCCTTCCAGGAAGGTGATAATCCATTGTTCACCTTCTCATCACTCTGCTTCTGATCCCTTTTTAGCTAAATGAGAATCAAAAGCTACTACAGTCTGTGGACGTCATGTAGTTTGCACAGCAATCTGGGTTGGAAGACCAGAGCTCACAGTACAGCACTTGTATAACTTGTCTATCATGCAGTGGGCCCAAAGTCATCAGCATTGAACAAATGTCAGTTGGAGCTGAGTCACTGTGGCAGGCAGCCCTATACTGGCTTCAGTTGACTTTATCCCTGTGCTCCCTAGTCTTTTACTGCTGCTGGGAGTCAGCCAACTGTCTTTTACCAATGTTTCTCTGTCATTCACTACTCTTATGC